GCACCGTGAGGTGAGGCAAAAGAACAATTAAAACTAACAAATACAATCAGTCAGTTACGATGAAACGTGTGAAGTCAACTCAGAACAAACCAGAATCAATGACCCCACCCAGCTAAAATATTCTTTTTTTAAGTAAACCAAAAGTAGTTGTATACAGACTTGACTTCACAAACACCCAGGTCTGGTTTAAGTAAACCAAAAGTAGTTGTATACGGATATATATATGGAAAGACTCCATACCAGAAAAAAATTAGAGGATCAAAAAAAATTATGTTTTGATATTATAACCACTAGTGGATTTTTTTTTTATGTAAGTAAAGTTCCTAATAGAACAGCTATTGTTCTTTTCTCTCATGTAAGTATTCAGGCTGTTGTTATAATTGGGCAACTTTTCACAGGAACTCACATCCTGTATTATTTGCTTAACTGAAGAAAAAAAAAACAACCTCTCTGTTTCCTCTAATGAAAAAACAACATCCCCTCCCTAACTGAACCTCACTCCATTTCAGGTTGACAATTAGCTGGATTGTAATTTACCACATAGACCAATCATGTTCATATTATTTTTTATATATCCAGTAAAGTAGTACTAAAGTATATTCAACATACTTGTGCATATTTTCTAAAAATAAAAGCTCAAATATTAAGCCTAAACACCACCATGGCTGCATCCAAACAAATCACCAGAATCTGAACAGGCCTTTAATCCTCTGTTTCATGTGTCTCTGCTTAATTACTGTGTAAACGATGTCCATTGAGTAAAGGGTCGAAGATGAATTATAGTTTGAGGAACATGAGAAGAAAGTTGCAATTAAGTGAGATTTATAGGTGAGGGAGATTTACTGTTCTTTATAATGATGCTAAAATATATAGTATGTCTGACCTCAGCAGTGAGGTGAGCAGGGAGAAACAAGGCCGTTCAATCTGCCCACACAGCAGAGGAAAAGATTATCAGAAGTGATAGTAGAACAGAGGAGAAACACAGCTTCTCACTGAGTTTATGACTCATCTGACCTGTAGAACAGCAGAACAGCAGAACAGTCCACTCAAATGTGGAACACCAAATTAACTCTATAGTCGTGTCAATGAATGTATAGCTATAATATTTGAGAGCTTTGCTGATTTCTCCCACCTACAGCATGACAAACTGATACATCTGCTGATTCTTTAAAAAAAAAAAAAAAACTACAATGTCTTCCTCCTAACCTTCGGGCTACTTTAACACTTACTTGCACACTGCACTGCGTTTTATACTAACATTCATTATACACGATGTACAATAGTTTATATTGGTTGACTTGGATTTTTTCAGTTGTGTCATTATTTTTATCTTTTAGCACAGAATCCTTGTAAATGTGAATGTGCATATTATTATATATCTTTTATCTACATATTTACTGCACTGTATTAACACACTTTCATCCACAAAAGTTCTTCTTTGTTTTTGCTATACTTCATTGTGTTAGTTTAGTGTGATATGCATTTATAAAATAATTTATATAAATCTGTCCTGGAATAAAATGATCAGTTTTAGTTAACGAAGACTTAGGCCATTTAGATACAATCTAAAATGTATTTCTTCAACTATTGTTTAGTTAAATAAAATTAGAACATTTTATTTAAAATGATTTAAACTTCAGATATAAAATGTTTCATGCATTGAATTTATAACTTCTGTTGACTGTTGGAGCTGTTCTTAACACCAATTTGCACACCTAAAAATGTATGACTGAAATGATTGACACTTATATTTCTTGTTGAGGCTATAAAGTAAATGTAGTGAAATAGAAGCTAATTTGATCAACATTCACAATAATAATAAAATGTTCAGTTATTCTGGGATGTTGGGGGCATTTTATTTGCCCCAAGGTGTCAGTGTTGGGGCAAGACAAAGCCCTGTGTCCTGGCTGAACAGGCCACTCTGCTGCCAGAAACTTCACCTCGGTCCCTAAACTTTCAGTTTTCACTTGTGGGAAATGAGCTCCTGTTTTTCTACATTTGGTTTAAATAGTTCAAAACAAGATCTGTAGCTTCTACAAGATTGGAAAAAAAAATAGAGGAGCTTAAACATTTATCGTCTCAGTCAAGTTTTTTTTTTTAAGTGTGTCCTGTGGGATAATTTACGTTGACAGCCTCAGTCTATAGTAACACCCTAATTTCATTTCAGTTATAAATCATAAAGTGTTTTTGGAGAGGAAAATCAATTTCCTGCTGCCCCGATTAGATTCAACCGTACATTAACGTCACTATACGTCTGATTTACTGCAGGCACTTAATGCGTGGCGGTAACTCCGAGCTTCAGTGCATACCTGCTTAATGGTGCATGTGCCACGAGATGCATTCAACTGCTGAGTTATTTGGGGACAATGTGTGATGAGTTTTTCAAACCGACTGACGCCTCAGAAGAGACAAACGTTCTATCAAAATGGAAAAATACCACATCAGCTTTGACCCTGAATGACCCAGGATCTCACCTGAATTCATACGAACCTCTATGAAGCGTAAATGATCGACAGATTTCTTTCATTTTGTATGAATCAGGAAGAAATGAGAGTCAAAGTCCACAGGCCTAAACATTAGCCGAGTCTGTGTCTGCTCTCTCCTCTCTCCGTCACTGTAAAACAGCTACACATTAACAACACTGACTTTCTCAAAGCACAGCCAGGATTTTACAACCCTCCACACACACACACACACACCCTTTGGATTTGGGTGCCGCTCTGTCAACACTTGTCTCCAGAGACTTCATCCAGTCCTTCAACTAGCCAATCAGTGAGGAGCACATAGGTGTGCTACAGTCTCATGGGAGCCTATCGGCAGGCAGGAGCCATGGAGACCAGCTGTTCGTGGAAGAGACGGGTGAGGAAGTGTTGAGGGTGCAGGTGGAGAGTGAGCGCTGGGTGGCTGTGATGCAGGTGTTTGATAGTACTACAGTAAACTGTTGTGAGTACAGGATTTATGGCATTGCGACTGTGGTCAAATAAGAACAACGTGTCCCGTGATGAAGAACGTGCAAAGATTTACAAAAGAATCTTAAAAATATCTGCTGTCTTTTTTGGGGTTTTTTTCTGATCTTTTTCCTTCTTTTCATAAACCTATGATCTGACTTGCAACAGAATCCAGTCAAACCTCTGGTCTGTCTTCAATCAAGTTAAAAAAAGAAAAAAAGATCACACCCAAAGTGTGGGAACACCTTCAGGTTTTCACCCCAGATGACCTTACCTCTCTTGATGAACGTGACCTCTGCCCCACGAGGTCACCCTCAGTGTGTCCCTCAGTGAGGTGAAGACAAAGCAGGTAAAGATACAGAGAGAGGAGCTTCAAACACAACGCCTTAAGTCCTATCTCCTGTCGACCGGCCGTAGTGTGGGAAACACGTTTCTCTGCAGCTCAGATGAAGGACTGAGCGAGACAGACTGTATTTAAGCGTGGACAAGGGAAAAGGCAAAAGGCAAAGAGATGCTGTCAGCTGTGATGTGTGTTGAGAGGAATGCACCGGTGTTATCACTCATTGAAGTTATGCAAGAATAGTTTGGTGGAAACCTTTGCCTGGTACAGTGTTGGGCCTCAGCCTCCTCTTACACTGCTGACTCACACACACACACACACACACACACACACACACACACACAGAGAGAGAGAGAGAGAGAGAGAGAGAGAGAAGGAGATAGATCCTGCCCTGAGGATTTTCTAATTACCCTCAGTGAACGGG